AGATGCACTTAGCAGAAAAATATTTGGAAATGCAAATTAGCTAATCACCTAACAGGAGCAGATCATCAGAGATATAGAAAAGTTAGATATTTCAGTAGTCAATCAAAAAGAGACAAAAGATATGATGTTTAATCAGCTGATGATTCAATCTACTTTAAAAGATAAAGTTCTCAATGCATTGTCTCAGGATGAGAATTTTCAGACCATCATAAAGAAGGTGCAAAAAGGGCAATTAGAGAACTTTGTTATTGATGGAGAAGGGTTGTTAAAGTATAAAGGTAGAATCTGTATTCCAAATGCTAAAAACTTAAGAGAAGAGATACTATAGAAAGCTCACATCTCGACATATGAAATTCACCCGGGCAGTACAAAGATGTATCAGGAACTCAGATGTTTGTTTTGGTGGCCAGGGTTAAAGAGAAGTGTTGCAGAATTTATAGCAAAATGTATTCCCTGTCAGATGATTAAAGCAGAACATCAAAATCCAATTGGTCAACTGCAAACCTTACCCATACCTGAGTGTAAATGGGAAGACATTGCAATGAATTTTGTAATTGGTTTACCCAGGTCAAGGCAGAGTCAAGATGCAATATGGGTTATTATTGACAGATTAACCAAATCATCTCATTTCTTACCAATCAAGTAGACAGATTCAGTGGAAAAGTTGGCAAAATTATATGTTGATGAAATTGTGAGATTGCATGGGATTCCAAAATCTATTGTTTCAGATAGAGATGCCTGTTTCACTTCTAAACTGTGGAAGAAAATTCAGGAAGCTTTGGGCACACGATTGACTTTCAGTACAGCATTTCATCCACAGACAGATGGGCAATCAGAAAGAACAATTCAGACTTTGGAGGATTTAATGCGATTATGTGTACTAAATTTTGGAGGAAATTGGGTGACTCACATACCATTGATTGAATTTGCTTACAATAATAGTTTTCAAGCTAGCATCGGAATGGCACCATATGAGGCCCTTTATGGAAGAAAGTGCAGAACACCATTATGTTGGGTAGAAACTGGTGAAAGAAAGGTAATTGGAACTGAACTAGTGGATGAGGCTACTAGCAAAATCAGATTGATCAGAGACAGATTAAAAGCAGTTCAAGATAGGCAACGGAAATATTTTGATGCAAAGCACCGACCAGTGGAATTTGAAGTTGGAGAGTTTGTTTTCTTAAAAGTTAGCCCAATGAAAGGTGTTCAAAGATTTGGAAAGACAGGGAAGTTGAGCCCAAGATTCATAGGTCCCTATGAAATCATTGAAAAGATTGGGAATATGGCATACAGATTGGATCTACCAGCACACATGCAAGGAATTCATAATGTGTTTCACATATCAGTGCTTCGAAAGTATGTCTCAGATGATTCAAAGAGAGTACAGTCAAAATCCATTAACTTGCAGCCTGATTTGAAATATATAGAAGAACCAGAAAGGATATTGGAATATGATGTAAAACAGTTGAGGCATAAAGCAATTCCTTTTGTGAAGATTTTATGGAAACATGGATTAGAAAGAGA